GAGGATTTACAAGTGCCCTGCTGCAACAAAGGAAGTAACAGGGAGAGGTGGCTTACAAATTGAGGTTTTGTTGCAGAGGGTGGGGGTGGGAGGGAGGGGATAACACTCTGCTCACTACCCCCAGGATTTTCACTTTTACCCCATTTGGGGTAATTTACCCCTGTTCCCCGACCACTGATCTAGACAGAGCAGTTTAGTACCTCAGTTTATGAATTTAATGCATAAACCGAGGTACAGGATGTTACATAAAGTGAAAAATTAATAAACCGAAACGCGGATTGTCATAGGAATAGGGGTGGCGCTACAAACCTCCAGGTACAATGCATACTGGGGAAACTCTCTTCGCAAATTGAGAAAAAACCCAAAAAATGGTAAACCAAGGCATTATTTTCAACTGATTTCTGTTTGTATACTAAAAAATACGTAAACCTAATTAGGGGGCTCCTAATCCACACCTCAAAGCTCCCAAAAGTTTCAATAGGGCAAAAGGGAGTCCAAGGGAGTCCAAGGGACCCTTGAAACTTAAAGCAGGTCAGGGGCGAGAACAGAGAGCTTTTAATTAATGTAACTTAAACGTTTCCAGCATCTGATCCAAACTGTGTCAGGCACTAATGTGTACAACAGGATTTGATGAATATGCAAGTAGTTAAGAAGACTGTTACTTGTGAAAGGCAGTTGATATTTAATAGCTGCATTATCTGCATGGCTTCCAAACACAGGGAAATGAAAAAAGGAAATGAAAGGTAGTGAGTAATCTAAACTTCTTTGGTTTCTGTCCAGCATAGTTACTAAACAGGGATACCTGAAGATCAAAAACACTATGCAAATACACATATTCAACATAGCACATTAATCTGTGTGATAATTTGGTTAGCAATCTGTGTTTTTTCTCCACTTAGAAACACAGTTAATAAACACCCACTGTTGGTCACTGCCTGACAAACACTAAAAGGACAGAAACCTATCACTAAAACTGACAAAGCTTGCCATTTTAAATTTATTTACAATCTTCACAATATTCCTTCTTAACACACCTGATGAGTTATATCATTAAGTGCTACTGTTGGGAGAGAAATTGTGACTCAAGTTATTCACAGAGTCCATCACACCAGTAGGGTTTGCAGACATCAGAAGCATTACGTGAGACCAAAACCACAAATCCATTGCTATACAGGAAGTAGCAATTACTGCCTGAAATCCAGTTAAACTTTACACCTGTTCAACAAAGGGTATGCTTAGCAGCCCCTCAATCACTAGGGGTGGGGATTGTTTGATTTCCTGGATTACAAATCTCATCATTCTCTGTTCTTTGAGTTCTCCCTGACAGACACCTTACACACAGCTAAATGAGGCTCAAATGGGAGAAAGGCCTCAACTGGAAGGCTTTGAGACTTAGCTATGCCTAGCTCCACCAAACTTCTTGTTTAGAAAAAAGCACCCAGCTTGTATTGAGGCAGGCTCAGGAAGCTTGAGCGAGTTGGGCCTAGCTTCCAGCTTCCGGCCTTTCTCTCAAGCGAGCCACATTTAGCTGTCTATAAGGTGTCTTTCTATCAGACAGTACTCCCAGAATGGAGAACAATAGGATTTTGGGTCTAAAAAAATCCAAAAACTCTATCCCTAAAACATACACATGTGGAAGAACAGACATTGCATCCTAAGAGCTGCTAACCATGGAGAGGGAATGTCAGTTTAGCAAAAGTGCTCAAGCTCTGTTCAGTGTCTGTCATCTCTAGTTAACAGGAGTAGGTAGCAGGAGACAGGAGAGATCTCTGTCTAAAATTCTGGGTGTGCTAATTGTGGAATTGTTGAACAAAAACTTTCATTATATTAAGAAGACACGAAACTTCAGGTAAATGGGACATGATGTCGCGTTTTCCTATAAATATCCTTCTCCTCCTATTCCTCCTCCATTATTCAAAACATTAAAAATGAAAATTAAACTTGTTTTGCAACACTTGTTATATGCTGTCAAGTTGCCTCTGACTTACGGCATCCCTATGAATGAGCAATCTCCAAAATGTCCTATCCTTTACTGCTCTGCTCAGCACTTATGAACTTAATTCTGAGGCTTCCTTTAAGGAGTCAGTCCATCTCATATTCGGTCTTCCTCTTTTCCTACTACCCCCAACTTTTTCTAGCATTATTGGCTTTTTCAGAGAATCTTGCCTTTTCATGATGTTCCCAAAGTCACAATCTCAGTTTTGTCATGTTTGCCTCTCGAGATAGTTCAGGTTTGATTGGCTCTCGGGTCCACTTGTTTGTCTTCCTGGCAGCCCAGGATATCTGTAAATCTTTCCTCCAGTACCATATTTCAAATGAACCACTCCCCCCCCCCCCCCCCGGTCAGTCTTCTTCACTCTCCAGCTTTCACACCCATCCATAGTGAATGAGGTGAATGGTCTTGGTCTTGATCTCCAATAACACTTCCTTACACTTGATGATCTTTTGTGATTCCTTCATTGCCACCCTTCTGAGTCTTAGTCTTGTTTTGTTTTCATGGCTGAAGTTTCCATTTTGGACTGATGCTTGAACCAAGGTATACATACAACATTTCTATTTCTTCGCTGTCATGATTAAAATTGTGTACTTCTTCTGAAGTCATGATTTTTGTTTTAACATTCAACTACAGCCCTAATTAGGTAAATAGATAGTTCGCTTCCCAGAACTCTACACTTTCCTGCTTCATTTCTGGCCTCTAAACCACATTTTTCAACAATTAGTTCCGCTTTGTTCCCTACTTTTGCATTCCAATAACCTATGATTAGAAGCATGTCTTGTTTTTGTGTATGACCAATTTCCTCCTGGATGTTTGCATAAAAGTTTTCAATTTAATCTTCTTCAGCATCAGTAGTTGGTAGTATAGATTAGAAAGATGTTTGTTGATGATTTTTTCCATCAACTGATTGGTATTATTTGTTCAATCAATACATTACAGTCCTAACTGCCTGCACTACATCTTGCCTCAGTATTTGCCCCATTTCTTCTGTCATTTCCAGTGTAAAACACTTCATAATTGTCTGATTGAATATGTCCCATTCCAATCTAGTTTAGTTCACTGACATCAAGCACTGGCAAGGTTTTCAGTTTACCCTGATACTTCTTACATTCCATGTTGCAATTGTATCTGTTGTGCACCATTGGACTTTCCTTTCATCTCTGTGCATTTCAGCCATTAGACATCCTTTTGGCTTTAATCTAGTTGTTTCATTAGCAACAGTACGATTTGTGCTTGCCCTCTGCTCTTCCCCCGTATCTGATTGAGCAGCTTCCAACCTGGGAGTTTCATCTTCCAGCACATCTCTAATTTAATTTTAGATGTTGTCATGATAGGGTTTTCAAGGTAAGAAAAGTTAAGCAATAGTTTACCATTGCCTTCTTCTGTGTACTACTAACCAAAGTTACTTTGAGTGTTACTACCATTGTCTGTGAAAGATCATCTATCAGCGGTATCCTGTTACCACTGCTGCCCAGTGGCTGCCCTTCAGAAGTTTCTCCACCACATCACCATTGGAACTACCCACTGTCTTCTGCTGATATGGCTATTACTCTTTAACATGGTGGATGAATCTCAGTCTGTTGTCTCTCAGCTGTGAACCTGTCTTGGTTGGAGTCAAGGCTCATAATGGACTCTGCCCCCCTGATAGCATTGCTCACAACTTTTCTGACACATGCAAGGCATCCAAAGTTCCCTCCGCCAGCACAGGCTTTCCCAGGGAGTAGACTGGGCTGTGAGGGTTCAGTTTTTGGGGCTTCCCAAGGGTTCCAAAAAGGAGTCGACGCCTTTGGTTCTGG